ACCAGTGTGTGAATGCGAGAGTGAATGAATAGTGGCATTGTAAAGCGCTTTGGGTGCCTTGAAAAGCGCTATATAAATCCAATCCATTATTATTATTATTATTATTATTATTGGCTTTATCAATGCCAAAACAGAAAACAGAAAAAGAAAAGCTTATATCAAATGGCAGCATCGGATCCTAAAAGAAAAAGAGACCAAATCCAGAGCAGGCTAAATCTTTGGAACCAGTGACAGTGTCTTTTTAATCCCTCAATACATATCTAGCACCAAGGATAATGTGTCATTTACCTGCACTGTTTAATTCTTCTTTGATGGTGTTCAAAATGCTCCCTTTGTCCTGATTCAGTTTCTATTGCATTTTTGGATTATTGTGTTTTTGTTGGCTTTCTTCGTTGTTCTTGTGCTTTTGGTTTTTGATTATAGTCAGGCTAAGGTTTTGATTTCACTTTATGCATTAGTTCCCATTGTTGTCTCGTTATTGTTTAGTGTTTACAGAATCGAAATCGTGTCAATATGATTTACTGTTCCAGTGTAGGTTTTGAATCCTTGTTTTTTTCCTACTAGGCTTCAGTTCATATTTTGAGTTCCTTTTCTACTACTCACTCTTTCTCCTCTTCCTATGTTACCCAATGTATTACTTCATATATGTTTCAATTATGGTTGTTGCTAATTGTTTCTTGTATCTTGTTTTGAGTTTTACCTCTTTGTCTACGGCTGTCTTGATTGCATTTGTGTCTACTTTCCCCACCTGTTTCCACTTCCCTTATCAATCCCATGTGTATAAATAATCCAATCCTCCCTGTTATTTCCTTGCCCTAGTGTGCCCTAGTGTGAGTTATCAGGATTCCTAGGTCCTCTGTTTTGTTATGTCTGTTTTTTTGGGGGGGGGGTGTTTTTGTTTTGTTTTTCATTTCTTGTATTTTTATGTTGAAACTGTTAGACTTTATGAGATTTTAATAAAGCTCTCTCTTTATTTGATCTGCATTTATTTTTAGACTAAATCGTAACACCTTGGAGATTTAACAACTTCTTCTATATAGCAAGTTGTGAAATCCACCCCTGTAATAACCAATAAGGCGCAGGGAGAAACAGGATGAACACTGTTTTGACCTGTTAGTGTTTAACCATAGAACTGTGGACTTGCACTTTGACTGAAGAAATATTTTTGCTTTGTTAATGCGGTGAAGACCAGTGATTCTTCAATGATCAACCTTATTTGTGATGCAGCTTGCAGTGTCCTGGCTTTTTTGGTGGGACAGAGGTGGTGAGATCCCTGCTGCCATTTACAGTGCATGTCCACTTTCAGAGACAAGGAGCAACGTGGGCAAGAAGAGCCTTGGTTATTGATTAATACTCTGGTAATTGGTTATTGATTGCTTTCAGCCTCCTTCACATTGTCTGAAGGGAATGCACTGTGCGAACATCATTTAGTTTGGGACTGAGTTTTGTTTTCTGCCAAATCTCATTTCAGGATGGAAGATTTAGTATCTGAAAGTACATGTAGAGGGGTAATTGGTCAGTCCAGAACAGACGAATTGCCTCCTTCTGCTGCTCTCAGTGTTGACTCATCCTGCGGATCCTGCCTGAAAAGCATCAAGCGCTGGGTGCCTTTGGACTACAAGCATGAAATGGTTCAGCTTTTAAAACTTGCAGGTCCTGTGGTAAGACTGTGTTTAGCTGAAGCAGCTGACAAAGTTTTACCCTGTCTGTATGACTGAATCTAACGGTACTAAGGTACTCCAATTTGAATGTGAATCTCTGTAAATGCTGGAACAGCTCTCTAGTTATTATTAGTGTATACTGAGCAGTTTGCAGTGTAGATCACAAGTTGTCATGAATGAAGTTTGTTACTTTAACTTGGGGTTCGTTTTAGACCAGTAATTATTTTTAATGTGACACCTGTTTTATTAAAACAGTAATGAACAGGTTAATTGCTTCAAACCACTGAGGCTCACTGATAAATAATTATCCAATGGTGATAAAAGTATGATCATGATAGCACTTTAACTAAAACTAATTTCACCCTTTTACTGACCTAAGATATAGTATACTGTATGCTTTAGAGAAGTGGCTCTCAGGCTGTGTGGTGGGCCCCCTGGTGGAGGATACAATCACTGCAGGGTGGATGTAGAAGACTTGGGATAAAATATGGAGTTAAACTAAGTTGAATTAATATGAATTATTTAGGGAAAATAAACCAAAAAATACCTTCCTGTTATTATGTTGACCTTTACTAAACTGATCTTTTCTTATTGTTGATGACTAATGGAAATTGTGTGGTATTAGAAAGAAGCAATGCTGTATATGTCTGTGAAGTTTGTCAGTCATCCAGGTCATCGTAGTCTAAAGAGCTTGGAAAGAAAAGCTTCTGGACTTCTTTAAGTTTCTTGAAGATCTTTCAACCCTCATCTGATTGATTCTTCAGTTCTAAGAGCAACTGGTGCTTCAGGGAACTTAAAGAAGTCCAAACGCTTTTCTTTCCAAGCTCCTTGCAGCAATATACAGCACAGTAATGTATTTTTTATTTTATTTAAATGTTTTATTTCAAACTTGTGCAGTCTTACACTGATCACTTTAAACACAAGACAGATAAATAGGCTGCTCAAAAAGCAGGTGCACCAGAGAGGCAACAACAAGACAACCCTCAAAAAGCAGGTGCTGTCTCCTTATCCCTGATGACTGATTTCTCTCTACATTCACTTTCTGTTAGGATCTTTTTCAATACAGCATAACACGCTAACCGGACCCCATTCAGGCTGGACAAGTAGTCCAGCTCCTCCAGATAGCACATCTAATGTGGCATCACAAGAAGGCTGGCTATGTCTCAACACTGTCTCAAGAGTGTGGAAGAGATATCTGGAGTTGGGTTGTTACGCCAGAAGAGCTGGACAGAAGGAACCAGCAGGACAAGTATCTGCTCCTCTGGGCAAGAAGGAGAAAGGGTAGCACTATTAAAGCCCTAAAATAACCTCCAGTAGGTTACTCATGTACATCTTTCTGATAAAACTGTCAGAAATAGCCTCCATTAGACTGTCGTGAGGACTTGATGTTTTTTAGTGGGACACATTCACAATCAAGTAGCTCAATTAGCAGCCACAGAGGGTTCACCTCTGGCGCCCTGTTTTCTTCCAAGATGCATGCATCATAATGCATGCCAAAGCCTCTCTGACTCTTGTGTGAGCTTGCTCCCATCGATGAAGAAAATGGGTACCACTGGTGGACCTGCCAGTTCTGTGGATCTGTGGCACATGCCAATCAATCTGCATGGTGCTTGCCCCACTAAAGGATATCAGGATCTTGTGCCATGCTCATGGTTCATTTTCTGACAGTTTAGTCAGAAAGAATGCACATGAATAGCCCTGTGATGGTGATGTTGTAGGGCACTGGCAGTGCTCCTGCTGTTCCCCTTCACACAAAGGAGCAGAAACCAGTCTTATTGCAGGGTTGATGCCTTTCTATGGCCTTTCCTGATATCTCGTTCACACAATAGAAACTGTCCTGGGAGACACAGCAAACCTGTTTTTGACATATGGATGAGTCATCCTGGAGGAGCTGGACTACTTGTGCAACCTGAATGAGCTGCAGCTACTGTCCCCTGCTAGCAGTAGTCACAAGGACACTAAAAAAAGCAACACTGGAGACAAATTGAATAAGGAGAGAGGAATGGTTTCTTGAAACGATTCAGAGGTCTTATTGTTACCTCTGTAGTGCATCTGCATTTTAATTTGCATCAAAACAGGTGAAACTCCTTCACATTGGTTTGTGCTTCCTAATCTGATAACTGATATCCAGTGTTGGGTAAGTTACTTTAAATTAGTAACTTAGTTACATTACTAGTTACTTCCATCAAAAGTAACCCAGTTACTTCAAGATACTCGTTACTTTCAAAGTAACTAGTTACTAGGGAAAGTAACTTTGGTTTTACTCAGACTTCTCTTGTTAATGTGTTGCT